ATAGTATTACAGAAGTCTAGATCCTTAGGACGGGAGTTAAGTACCTCATTTAATTACTGTCACAAGCCAGTAACCCAAGATTTTAATAGATTTAAATTAACTCCAAAAACTATTTCTATTATATATATATAAGTATACTTTATTCTATAAATTTTAAAATAATTAGGTGAGATGTGATAACTTAGTGTAGTGGTCTAGTCATCACTCTCTCCAAGTGGCAGGTCTAGAGTTCGAATCCCACAGACGACAATATTTAAAAAATAGGCTTGTATTTGGTTGATAGCTATGCTTATCAGTTAGATCTAATCTGTAACTTCAGTTATACCATCTAGTAATGGGAGCAATGGTACAATAAATCTGGGGAACTGGCATAACCGAAAACCTATTTGGGAAGTTCTGAGTTAGAAAGTAGCAGTAATCTTCGATAGTATCACAAGAAGGCTGAATTTGAACTGGGGCCCAAGATCAGAGAACCGAACGACCAGGTTCTAATAGTAAAAGACACACCAGCCAAATCGCTGGGTTTTGTCGCACTAAAGAAAAAGGACATACACTTCGAAAGTATGTACCAAGGGGAGGGCATCCTTCAGATACCTAAAGCCTGGGCAGACCGACCCTTCCAGGTTGCCAGCTAGAAATAAGAAAGAGACTGATAAAAATCTGGGTAAGAAGATAGCCGAATGCGGGTACCAGGGTTGCTGTGAACCTAATAAGGGCAAAAAGTAGGTAATAGGCGACTAATTAGAAAGGTAATGGATCTGGAAACTGCAACACTGCAGGGGGAGGAACCCGGGATATATAGTAATATATATACTAGATCGGTACTTGTACTAGTTAGTTGCAGGGATTTAATGGTTAGCTCTGACCCCAAGTGCATGGGTCAAGCTATAGCGTAAAGTTACCAAAATCTGGGTGAATACATAGGTGAGACATGTACCCTAGCAATGAGGCAGCTGAGGCCTAGGGTTATATGATATCATAGTACGCCACGACATATGACGGGTATTGTGGCCAACATCAGTGTAGTAACCAAGATTGGGCGTCCTGCTGGGGAAGCCGGCCTAATGTCTGACTTAAATGGTCTGGGTGGCTCAGTGTTGCCATCTTTGAGCCTGACAAAGCCTGGCCATTCTTCAGTATGGGTTACTTATATGATTAAAAAAAAAAATAAAATAAAATAATTAGATTTAAAGCACTGCATAAAGAGAGACTTTTTAAAAGTTTTAATTAATGCTACAAATTGAAATCAAAATTGCAACAAATTAAAAAGTTAACAACTAATCGATTAAAACATTTTTGGCAACTTATATTAAAATCGAATAAAAATCGAATAATCAAAAAGTTGACAACTAATTGATTGCAAAATTTTGATGATTTGTATCAGATTAATATACAAATTTTAAAATATTTCTAGTTTAACTAACTAAAGTCGATGATTTAGAAAAGACGAAAAACAAAAAATTATTTAATAAACTTTATTTAATTAATTTAAATAAATTAAAATTATTTCTAATTCATTAAAACAAACCAAAATAAACTAAAATTTTAATTTTATAACTAAATGAATATTATTTTATCAATTTTATTTGATTTATTTTATATTATTTAAATTATTTTGGACTAATTTAAATTATACTAATATTTTTCAATTTTATTTAAATAAATTTAGTCATAATCTAATTTAAATTCTAAAATCTTAACTGTTTTTTAATAATATACACATATTATTGACAATAATTTTATTTATTTTAATTTACTCTAATCAATTTCAAATTAATGCGAATTAATTTACTAAATATAAATTTGTTGTAAAATTTCGCTTTCTTTTTCATAACTTTGCAAAATTTCTTATACTATATTTCATAATATCTTATATAATATTTCGTAATTTAATATTTTACAAGTTTTCAAAATATCTTACGTTATATTATGCCTTTTTTACAGGTCATAATTTATTATATAATATTACACTCTACTAAATTTGCTGATGAAGTCTATATTGTAAATTCCCATAAAGCATTGTTTGGCATAATAAATTAGAATATAGCAAAAGCGTAAATAGTAAAAGAGTATGATTTTACCATGAATATAGAGAGCTAAATATTAAAAAAAAAAAACAGTATTAACAAAACTGCAATACATATACTACAAAATGGTTTTTCTTATTTTTTTCTATTTTTTTATAAGATACCCTTTTTCCAAAGATGCATTTCACCAAAACTTCTCGCTTGTGCATATCTAACAAGCTATTTTTCAAGCCAAGATCTTGGAAACTCCAAAAGAATCTTACAAAAGAAAATAAAATAATTGCTTCTCTTTGAAGAGATCGCATATTATCTAGTAATACTAGTTTTCCATATTCTTTATATTGTTTGATTCGTTGAAGCCCTGTCAACATATTTGTTTTAAGAATGTTGTGTGTTATGACTAAGACTTTGGGAGAAAATTTTAAAAATGTGATTTCATCAATTTGTGTAATTTATAAAAATCATATAATAAAAAATTAGATGTGAACATCTTGATCAACTAATATAATTGCTAGACCAGTCCAGTGAATTTCACTGGATTACTGGAACTAACTGGATGAAACTGGAAGATATTAGGTTCCAGTGGTAAGTTGTTACTAGACCCTTTCAGTAATATTTTTTTTTAACACTTGATGAAAGTCCAGTAGTCAAAAAAAAACAGATAAAAAAAAACTTTTTTTTATTTATATAACATGATACAGATTTGTCACACAAGTTATTTTTGATATTTAAAATTTTATTTAAACGCATATACATAATCTATTTGAAATATAATAGTGCAATCCTGTAATCAAAAAAATAAACCAAAAATATTATATGTAAACTAAGATTGTAATTGGATCGTTAAGATTCAATATCAATTAATGATCATCTTTTTCATAAGATAATTCTATGTACAAGCCCTATTTTGTCTCAAAAATCATGAATACCAAATTTTTGTACCATTACTTTGCTAGCCTTTAAATTGATACCCATACTTTAAACTAATGACATAATGACGATAGGTATCCCTGTTAGTAAAGTTGGTTTTCGGATTATCTTAAAATAAAAAGATTTGCTTTTGAATGTCTTAAAATTCCTAAATTGTCCTATATCAGATATGCGAAAGCACTAATTATTGACGTAAATGCACTTTGAACACACTTTACAGATCTACAACGTAGTTTATTATATTCGTGACTAAATTGGTAACAGTAAAGCGAGTTATGTTATATTTTAGCCATGGGATGATGGAATAATTATGATTGGTCATTATATATATAAAGAAGAAATCGGTGATAAAAAGAATGAACGCAAAGCGTTCGAACATTATCAAAATTTGATAGTAGTTTAATTTTAAACTTTACAAAGATAACACGATCGCCTAACTATAATATGATTTTTATTTTAATTTTACTAATATCTATACAAGAAATTAATAAATAAGTTTTTTCGCACATATTAGATTATAAAATTGTTCTGAATCAAACTTAGGTGGGTACTGTGAAGAACGGTATCCTAATTTGGGATTTATATTAAAATTAGTACCCGAATCTTAAACACGGAGGGTTTGTTTTTTGTGAATACTGTTATGTGCACGAAGGTACTACGTTATATCGAGAGTGATGTGTATACTCAGGGACCCGTAAAATTTTAGTTTTAAAAACTCGAAATTTTTTCTGATAACAATAAAAAATTTAGGCAAATTTTAGATAAATTTTGATTTAAATTTAGTAAATTTTAGATAAATTTTGATTTAAATTTAATAAATTTTAGAAAAGTTTTATAATTCATTAATAATTCAACATGCCGATTGTTATTAAATATAAAATTAGGAACTAAGTCACATAAATTTTATGTCTCTAGATCATGGCATCAATATCCAATACAAACTAATCATATACTGTATATATACCTTAGAAGTTAAATAAGTTAAATTTGTATAAAATTTTTATTAAAAATAAAATACGTATAACTAGGGATAAGCAAATCAAATATTTGAATCTACTGCGGCCCACATTATAGTTTACTGCTAATGCAGGCCAGAATTGTGAAATTCAGAAATGTTTCGAAATTCCGAAACGGCAGCATCCCATTTCTATGTATCACAAACTATATATAATATAATAAGAAAATTTTAGTTATTAAACATCACGGATCAATCGAGATATTATTCAGTATTGCGGCGCAGCCGCAATGATAACTGTTTTATTTCACGGATCCTAATTTTCACCCATGACTTTTTTTTACTGATATTCTTACGGTTGATATTTTCACGGCGGACAAACACCCCACACATTCACAAACTTCCAACTCTAATTGGTTCAGATCATTTTTTAAATTCTGGGACCTGCAGTAATTATAATGCCAGCTGACATTAATTTGGCCAGAATTTGCGGATCATAATATTGACTACGTAATTCTGGCCGATCGAACCTGGATCCCGTGCTCGAGGAAAATAATTCTATGTATACTACATTTGACCCTAAAATGTAAAATGTTGATTGCACTTAATTGTTAAGTTTGCGAGACTTACTCGGAGAAGGGTGCTTACGGTAAGCTAATTGTGATTATTTTCATAACATTTACATATTATTCACAGAATTTTCAGTATGTATATATTACATTATTAGTGTTATATAGTATATATAGTATATATATATTTAGTATTTATATATAAATTATAGCGTGAAATTTCGTGTGGCAACTATTATCATTTTCATTTAAACTAGTTTTTAAACTCGTAGATAAGAAGAACAAGCTTCTCTACCAGCTGGCTTAGCAAGATAACCGACTGGCTTAGTAGTGGCTTAGAAGTATTAATTTTTGAAGAAAAGAACACAACCATTTTATGTCTTTTACATTATTGTAAATTTTAGACTCAAGGAATTATGAGAATTAGCAAATATACTTCAGTACCCTCAAAAGACATTGATGATGAACATAATGAAAGTGCTTTAAGTGAGCCTGGTGAAACTTCGGAGTACAGGGGACTGATTCCCCACCGGATCCCGAAGACTCCTATGAAACAATGGAGAATGAGGAGCGTGAGATTATGCTTAGTAAAGAAAAGGGAGAAGACGATACTGTAGTCGACATGGGTGAAAATTGGGAGGGCAGAGGGTATTCAAAAAATAATGTGAGGACTTTTTCAATTATTTTCAATAAAGAAATGTCTTATTTTTATAAAAGTTTCTGATCAACTATCATTATCTCAAAATTGTAATTTTATAGACAAATGAAAGATCAATTCTCCCGTGTCTTATTATTGCTGCTGTTTTTATAATCGCATGGGTTGGCTCAACAATCATATACGCATATTATCGTTCTACCACTATCGGGACCACTTCCACTCTAAATCGTATACAATTTGATGAAGTATATAATGGAGGTTTTTATCCTCAATATACATCATTGAAATGGAGTTCAGCTGGTACATTAAGCTTCACATAACTCGTTTTGAATTTTTTTTTTTAATATTAATAATTAAAAAAATCATTATACTCTTTCTTATTCAGGGGATGATGATGGTGTATTCATTTATCAAGATGATGATAATATTATTTTGGAACAAATATCTGACAGATCGAAAAAAACTTTAGTGAAAAGCACAGATATTATTGATGTATATTTGCGTTCCTATAATTTTTATTTTATTGTTTATTTAATTTTTCTAATATGTTTAATTATTATTATTATTATTATTATTATTTTATTATTAATTATTATTATTATATTATTATTATTATATTATTAGCCGTATTGTGGACCTCTCAGTTATTTCAAGTTTTTCGTATCACCGGATAATCAATACGTATTATTTGGAGTTAATTATACAAAGGTAAAAACAGGCTTATTAACCACATATTAAGTATGTTCTATTTTCAAGTACCGTATTAAATCCATCTTATGACTTTTTATGTAAGGATGGAGACACTCTTATACTGCAAATTATTATATTTTTAATATTTCTTCAAAAATACTTTTCCTCTCACGCAAGGAATTAATTCAACTCATCAAGCAGTAATTTCTTATGCTAAATGGAGTCCTGTTGGTCATGATATTGTAAGATGATTTTCAACCTCTTTAAAAATTCTGGTTAGATTATTATTTGGATATATAATTTATTTTTGAATGAACTCAAATGTGCCTAAGGCATTTGTAAAAGACAATGATATATATATATCGTTAGGATTGAACTCGCGGTTATTTAAGCAACAATGAAGTCGGTTATACGAATAAATCTGGTTTTTTTTTAGAGCTGAGCGAGCTTTCCAACAACCCCAAAGTTCAAGCATAAAGAAGTGGAAAGCAAGAATCAAGTTTTATATTTGAGTTCACTACCAAACCGAATCATCATTAAATTTGTTACTCATTATTATGAATATTAGTACTTTGGAAATTGACGGATTTTGGAATGAGTATCAACCACAATTATTTAATACTCTTATACGTGTTATTAAATCACAAGAAATTCCGAGTTTAGTGGAAAGGAAGGATAAAGAACTTTTGAGTTTAGCGGAAAAAAATAAGAAAGAACTTTTGAGTTTAACGGAAAACAAAAATAAAGAACTGAATAAGGCTAACAATTTAGCAGAAAACAGAGCACAAGGTCTATTGCAAACGGAGCATATGGTTAACGTAAGGGGTGCCTTGGAATTTGTTCGCGCGCAGGTAATTATTTTCTAATTGTATTTTTCAATTTTACCATCCGAATTTTGAATACTGAGAGGGACTTTACACAACAGATTTTGTCAAAAGATATGTCGATCGTCTTTACAGAACCCGTAGATAAGGCTCTGATGCACTTATCTCAAGATGAAGATTTTATCAAAATTTTAAAGAAAGCGTATGAAGAAAAGATAATTCAATTTTTAATAACTTAAATACGCGTATTTTATTATTATAGAATTTTGACAAATAAATTGTATATAAATAAAATAATGTTAACTTATTAGATCCAAATAAGATCATATCTGATATATAGTGTAACGAATTGTATTCGTTACTGTATATAAAACTCGATCCCGTGTTTAATTTTATTTTATTTTATTTTATTTCTCTTTATATTTTATTTTATTATTAGTACTATTCGTATACATAAATAGCTTACCCACCAATTCCATTTTTGTAACAATACCCGGTATTATTAATTTTATTACAAAAGCTGCTCGATACGTAAGTATCGAGGCAGCTTTTGTCTCTAATCATCACGAGACCAACATGTGATACCTCCGAACATGTTCGGTCTAATGATCGATCTAGTGATCGATCAGTGATAATAGGTAAGTATGAAGTAATCCTTACGTGAAATGGGGTAATGGGAAAGTTTGAGTAATTAGTTGAGTAAGTATGAGGTAATTAGTTAGTGTGTGAGTATATTGGTAATTGATGAGGTATGTGGGAGAAATAGCTTTGTTTCTTCTGCGAACCTGACATTCGTTCTGGTTACATCGACCCTCCCTCCCTACCCAGTTGGTTTTTTCCGGAATGGCCTGTCGGGACGACAGTCATATGTGGGGTTAGGGTCGATGTGATTGTTCTAAGCTTATGGCCTGTCGGGACAACAGTCATTTGTATAGATTCTATGACCTGTCGGGACGACAGTCTTTTGTACAAATTTTTATTGCATTCCGTGACCTGTCGGGACGACAGTCTTTTGTATAAAATTTTTTATTGCATTCTATGACCTGTCGGGACGACAGTCAATGAGGAAGAAATATATATGTGAGCGATACTATAAAAGTTGCGTAAGTTGCTCGATTAGCAGAAGGGAACACCCAAATGTATCTCCGTAGTAAGTCACCAAGAATGAGAGACAAAACAAATGCAGAAATTTTAATTAGTTATACTAAAATAGAAGTAGTGGGTGGCTTGGTGGCTTAGATGCATGAGAATCAAATGTTTAGTGAATACGCGGTAAATACAACGATGACGCGGTTATAATCACCAACGCGTAGTTCTAATAACGAATACGTAGAATTCTCAGCGATTCCGTAAAGAATCTGTCGAGTACGCTGGGAATTCCGCGAAATTATTGTAAACTTTTAAAAATGTGTATAAGACCTTCGATTTTAATAAAGTTATCCAAGTTCCACGTCCTTCATAAATTGAATTAAGTAGTAACGTAAAAATACTTATCTTGTAAAATTCGACTTTAAATTTAATAAAACCTTCGAGACTCAATTCGACGGACCGAATTGACTTGTAACTTCGATCGATTTTATTAAGACTCGAATTTCTGTGTAACCGTCTTCCTACGTTTTTGGAACTTGTCACGTGATTTTCGTTTGGAAGTGTCTTTGCCTAAAGAAAAGAATTAAGTTGACACGAGAAAAGTACTACGCCCCGCCACCTTTGGCATCACCAGCATCAGCTGATTTTATCAGTATCTGAATTAAATTAGAATTTATCATTTAAAGTATCAGAATTTATTGAAATCGACTTTCAATCACGAGAATATTGATCTTTGTTCTTAAGACCGATTTATTTA